TTTTTTACCTGGAAAAACATATATGCAAGAAGAGCTAGTTATATGGGACTGCAGAGGTTAGGACAACTCTCCTTCAGAAAGCAATTAGAAAAGCTGGATACCATAGAAAATGAGATGTTTGGAAGAATTGACAAGCAGCCAGGACAGCCAGAACTTGAAAGGCTAAGCTACCAAATTAAAATAAATTAAACTGAAATGTTTTGCAGGCAAGAAAAAATAAAGATGGGAGAAATGAATGAAATGGGGAAAGGGCACAATACAGAAAATGAAGTTACTTCTTCAAAGCACTCAAAATTGGTAAACCTCCAGAAAGATTTATTGGGAATAAAAAAGAAAAGACAAATTACCCTTAATGAATGGGTGAAAGACATAACTACAGACATTAAAATAAAGAGGATATTATGAACAACTGTATATTAATAAATATGAAAATGCAAAAGAATGACAAATTCCTTGTAAACACAACTAAAACTGACACAAAATAATCTAACTAATCATATGTATATCTATTAAAATAATTGCTCTATATTCATAATTTAAAATTTTCCTGTTAAGAAAATTCTAACCCCAGAATTATTCTAATCATTTTAGGAAATAATGGGAACATGCTTTGTGATATTTGAATATTTCAAGAATGCAAGACTATCTTAGCATTTAAAATTAATTAGAATAATTAACTACATTAAAAGAATAAAAATATTATATGATCTTTAATAGGTGAAGAAAAATGATAAAAATCAACAGCATTCTTGGTTTTGTTAAGTGACTGTCTCTAAATCTAAGAATAGAAAGGAATGTATATAATCTGTTAAGACGCTTGTATGAAATTGATAGAAAAACTTTGAGAGTTTTCCTTTTGAGATTGAGAACAAGATAACTGTATCAACCCTAGTATTGTGCACCGTACTAGAGAGCTTATCAAAGGTGATGAAGCAACAACAACAAATACAAAAAAATACAAAGTGTGTAATGACTAGAAAGGAAGAAAACTTGATTGTGAAAAATGCAATCTACTGATAAATGATGAGATTATTAAATAAATGTAATAATACATGAAATGAAAGATCCATTATAATCAACTATACATGTGAGCCTAGCAAAAAAAAAAAATAGAAAATGAACTTTGAAAAAGGTATTACTTGCAATAGCAACAAAAAGCATTAAGTACCTAGAAATAAATCTAGACACAGATGTTTAAAATCTTTCTACAGAAATGACTAAGAGAAACTGAAGAAAACCAAAAGAATGATGAGGCTATATAACGTTCATGGATTCAGAAGCTCAATAGTGAAAAGATGTACATTTTACTCTAATTTATTTACAAAATTCAGTGCAATTTCAAGTGAAATAACAGGCAGGTAATTTTTGTCCAAATTGACAAGATTCTTCTGAGGTTCAGATGGCCGTGTCAAAAGGCAAAACTAAGTTTAAAACACATCAGCAAAACCAAGCATTATCAAGAATGTGGAACAACTAGAACTGCTGATGGGAATGCAAATTGGTACTACCACTCTGGAAAATTGCATGACACCACATCCCAGTAACTCTAGGAAGGTAAACATATAGCAGAAAAATGTATTAATAGCCCCAAACTAGAAAAAAATGAAATGTATATTCCTATAATGAAAAAGTGAATTGTTACATACAACATGAAGAATATCATAAATTTATTGTCAAGTAAAAGACAACAAAGAGTACATATTGTCTAATTCCAATTATATAATAAAGAGTACATATTGTTTAATTCAAATTGTACAAAACTGAAAAATAAGAAAAGCTAACTTGTGGTGTGAGAAATGCTAATAGTGACACTGGAGTAAGGAAGTAAGACTAGGAAACTGAATGAGTGATTCTGGAGTGCTCATACTCCTTTTTTAAATCTTAAAATGTAAACATGATCTGTATACTTTTCTGTATGATTAAGCAACAATAAAAATACTTTTTAAACATAAAAAAATCAGTAAAATTCTGAGAAAATAGAGTAGGAAATAGTACAATGAATTATGTATCTACATTAATGTAGAAATGTGTGGCACTGACACAGGGAGGAATAACAATAGGAGCAAAGATCAGGTCCAAAATTGGACCTAATGGACCTAAACACAAAATGGAACTTTTGTAATACACACACACACACATACACACACATACATGTGCACACACATATATTTGTTATATATATATAATTTGTAATGTTAGTGTTAGATTTTAATAAACTAAATGAATAAATCAAAGTAAAATTTTTAAGCTATCCAAAGAAAACAAATCTCTAAAACAAATACAGTGGTACCTTGGTTCATGAATGTTTTTTCTTGAAAACAATTTGGTTGACAAACAGAAGCATTTGGCAAAATTTTGTTTTTGTTTGCGACCTGCAATGGGTGATGACCATGAGACCATGGCCATCTTTTCCAGAATTGTGCAATGAATTAAATTCATGGACTGAGGCACCACTGTATTTAAAATCATAGACTCCAATTTAAAATGAGTAGCAAAAATTTCCATCATATCTCAACAACTAACAGAAATAACTGACTTGTCCCAATACTTTCCCTGTTTCTTTAAGGTAGTGAATAGATTAAAATTGAGTGGGTGGCAATGGGCGAAAGAATCAAGAATTTCTTTTTATCTGAAAAAGAGTCAAAAAATTGGCATCGTGCCATTTAAAAAAATTTTTTGGTATAGAGTAGAAAATTTTTTTCCTTAACTAGTCCATGTATGTAAAAGAGTATGTATAATTTTAAATGATCTAACCCCAGCTCCAGTCAAATGATTTCTTGCTCTCTTTAATTCAAAAGTCCAAGGCCAGATTTTGCCTTTGGAGAGGTTGAATAGAAGAGCTTAAAAAGTGATACAAATACCCAGTTTATCTCTCAGACAGCCATTTCCCCTGTGATCACAAGATGGCTCCCAATAGCTCCCTGGTCAGCATCCTTTGATTTCTCATCCAGTAAGAAGGTGCACATATTTATTCTGGCATTCCTTGCAAAGACCCCATTGAATTTCTTTGTCTCCAAATGTGTCACATCCTCTTCTAAACCAAACACATTGCCTAGAGAAATGCATTGATTTGAGTAATTTAGTCCTAACTCACATGCTCCATATCTGAGCGACCAAGGCTATAACAAACAAGATAGACTCTACAGAGATAAATTGAGGTATGGTTGCTAAGAAGAGGCTAAAAAGATTCCAGGTACGAAAATATTCTCTCTGGGGTAAAATATACTAGGGAATGGCTCAGAGAAGCCCTATGAATTTAACCCTGATATTTATTAATGTTAAAAGCTATATAATTGCTAACAACTGAAAGTTTTTGTTTTCCTAGAATTCATATGTTAACTTTCTAAACCTCAGTGTGATGCTATTTAGAAGTAAGGCCTTCAGGAAGTAGTTAGGTCATGATGGTGGAACCTTCATGAATTGAATTAGTACACTTATCAGAAGACACCAAGGGAGAATATCTCTCTCCTGTATATGAGGATACAAGAAGTTGGTGGCCATTTGCAAACCATGAAAGCTTTCCCCAGCATTACATCAGCTGGCACCTTGATCTTTAACTTTGTAGGCTCCAAAAATATTAGATATGAACATCTATGCTTTAAGTCACTCTGTCTATGATATTTTGTTACAGCAAGTTGAACAAAATAAGATGATGTACAAATCTCCCTTCTAGAAAAAGTAAAAATATAATGAGGTAGAAAAAGCTTCCCTATCCTCTATATTTCCCTGACTCATGTTTTCCAGTTTTCTGCTGTTATTTGAGTGACAATGTTTATTTATGTTAGCCGGCCTAAAATATGGAAAGAGTGCTCAGGATAATTGATGATGACTGCCACTGCAGAAAGACCATCTTGTACACAAGGAGCTATGTCTTTTTTAATCCTTTCTTTCTATAACTGGTTTTAAATAATTTTTCTGACATGATTCTACTTTTCTTTCTGTCAATTGTCAGTGAACAGGTATCGGGCATTATTTGTGGGGCTGTAAATACATTATATGAAAAAATGAGTCTCTAAAAAGTCAAGAGAATGCCTCCAGAGACATTTCCCTAACAGTGATTTATGCAGGTCTGGGAATGAAGTTTCAGAAACTTCTAAATGAAAAGTCTAGAACATAAAATAAAATCTCTTCCAAATATTCCTTTGCTGTAGCCTCTGGACACATTTCCCTTTTAGTTTTAATATGGAAGTTGGAAAATATTTTTTGTGTTCAACTTAAATTGTTTAGTTAATGGTCTAAGAATAACTCTTGGGAGTATCTCTCAGCATAGCATGTTATTACTCCATTCTTCTGACTGAATTTGATGTATCTATTGTGCTTTCCCTGAATAAACTGATCCTTGGGATCAATCATTTTCTTTTTACCAGCTAGAAATTATAGACATTTAGTGGAAATACCTACATCAGTCAATTTAATGAGTCTCATAGTCTGGGCTTTGAAATATACTGATCATTCTAACATTAAAATATAATTGATGTTCATCCTTGTTCCAAGTTTCCAAGTTTTCCTTTTGTCTCCTGTGCCTGCCTGATTAGAGTAATTTAGCTTTGGCTTTAAAAAAATTATTTCTTTGGGACCTTGGAACTCAAGTGCATCTACTGGGTAGTATTCAGAAGAGGCTAACCAATCTTTGAATTGTTAACTACAGTATACCTCAAGCACATCACTTAGCTTCAATTTATTTAACAGGGAACATTTTGCCAGTTTATTAGCAATTGTTCTATGAAAGGATCATACTGGTTAATATTCTATGAAAGTGTCTCTGGAAAGCTTAAAGTGACACAGCTGTGGCATATGTCACTGGGTAGAGAGTCAGGTAAGTCACATGACTGAGCAGAATTGGTACCACCCATGTCCCCTGAGAGGCTGAGCTCAAGGCTAAAGGGGTGGTTGCCTGGATGAAAGAGGACCACCCCATCATCAACCACAGTCACAAGAAAGTAAAACGGATTCAAGTCTAAGTTGGAATTAATGATTTTTGGTTTCTGTTTTGTTTTCAGTTGTTTGAATTTATGAACTTTTTGGCTGAGAATGTCATCTTCTGTTACATGGGCCTGGCGCTGTTCACCTTCCAGAATCATATTTTTAATGCTCTTTTTATACTCGGAGCCTTTGTATCCTTTGAAATACAAAACATGGGGTGATTAGAGAGGAGAACCAACTACTGACTTTTAAAGTTATGCCCTCAGGTTCACTGCAAAGCTCAAAGTCAAAGCAGATATGAAATTTCCAGTTCAGAGAGAGACATATCCTAAAAAAAACTGAGGGCTTTATTAAAAACATGTGGTTCATGATAAGAAGATTGAAAAATACTGTGGAAAATAAAAGGGAAAAGCTAAAGGAGTATGACATTTTTCAAGTATTCAAAATGTGTTTAGCTAAAAATTATAAATTGTTTACATAACTATGGCAAGATGCTTCTTACAGGAAAATATATTTAATTTGAATTAGAGTATATCCGAAGGCAGGTAGGATTAAACTTTTGGAAATGTTTTCATTTCAAGACAATAATTTTCTTTTCCAAGGATGACTTTGAAATTAAGAGAGAATAAGAATATTAAGAGAGAATACGAATCTAATGGAATTAGCACAATAGGTATAACTTTCAACATTTTAAGCATTGTACACTTGAAAATACTTTTTTCTCTTTTTTCTTTTGGTACCAGAGATTGAACTCAGGACCTTGTGCTTGTGAGGCAAGCGGAGGCACCACTCAGCTACATCCTCGGACCTGAAAATACACTTTAATAAGATAGCACCTTTTCTTTCCTAGGAAGGCTGATAAAATCTAGACCTCGGTTTTAATGCAGAGGCTTTCTAAGCTGTCAGGCTGGACAGGAGGCATTCCCAGTGGAAGAGATGTCTGTCCAAAGCAATACTGAGCCATGAGGAAAGTCAAGGATATTCAACAGCTGCTGTCCCTCCTCTCCCCTTGGATCACAGGCAGATATTCTTAACAGCTAGGAGAGCTGATCCCTCTCTCCAGCCCTGCTCCATTGAGCTCTTGCATGTGCCCCTCAGTCTCTTTTCACTGAGCGTGCAACTGAACCTTCAATTGCATCCAAAATCTAGATCTTAGAAAGAAATTCTCTTTCCCCAAGTAACTCCATCCCACTGAGCACAAACTAGAATAGATAACTACATATCAAGGACAACAATGATGAAAAAAGGAGAGATGAACACCACCAATGTTTTCATAGATTTTACCTATAAAACATTGATTTTAGTAAAATGCCTCTTAAAGCTGCAATTGTATTATATATTTACACAGGCAATTTCTCTCTAAATTAAATCCACTAAAAGAAAAAGTAAGTGAAGCTTGCTAGATACAGGCATATTAACTAATGGAAAGCAAGGTGGAAATTGTGAACAGAAGTAACTACATTTATCCTTTCCAAGGTGCTGCTTGAGAAGATAGTACCACAGCATCATAAGAGTCACTGCATCACACTTTACTCTTTATAGCAAAACTGAGCCGAGAGTCAGGCATCCACAACATAAACGGGATGAGAAGATTTACAATGATTGAAATGATTAGGCTACCAATTTTAAACCAAGTGTATATTCAAAGAAAGGCAGAGATTCTCTATTATTTCAGTAAAGGATTGACACTGAAGGATGAATTTTGGAAGCAGGGTGGACATGTATGAATTGACATGTTTATCTTTGTTCTCTGGGTCATAATGTAGAGAAGCTGAGGACTTAATATTTATGCTTAGAGTCGAACCCTCAGTGCAGCAACATTTTCCTCAATGTATTCCTGTGCTTGCCTGCAGCTAGCAATTTTTGTTGCCAGAGCCTGCAACATATATCCCCTCTCCTTCCTCCTGAATCTGGGACGAAAACAGAGGATCCCCTGGAACTTTCAGCACATGATGATGTTTTCAGGTATGTTGGCTATAGGATGTGTTAATCCTGCCATTCTCTCACACTTCTGTGGAACTGGGAAAACCATAAGGACACGCAGAGACCTTCCAGGGAAACACAAGCTTCACTGTACCCACCACCAAGCTTATTTCCCCTTTTTACTGAGCAAAGGCAGGATTTCTCTTCCCAAGTGGAACATGAAACTAATGGGAATTTGTCACTATGGCCTCAAGGTACAGTATCTATTCAAAAATGTGTCTAAAATGTGCACTGGACTTTTACATGGCCACTTTCAGATCAATTGCTGTATTGGAGAATTTGAATTTTCATTTTATTCTAAGTTGCATGCTCAACATAAATTGTGCATAAATGGTGCCATCTTTGTCCAGTGTTAAAGCATTTTCTTAGAATATCTGCTCCTTCCCTATATAAGACTTAAGACACTTTTAATGGTTTTCACAAAAGCAAACTGGATCTAAGTGTGTTCGGTTAGCTAGTTGGGAAAACTGATATTAATTGAGCACTCAGCAGGTGTCTTAGGTACAGTCTTAGGTACTGGTTGATGGAACCAACAAGTAACCTATGTTCTAATTGTCAAAATCACACTTGAAGGCTTCTTTCCAGAGTAAAATAAACCAAATGAATTTGCTGACTGCTGAACAATTCTAGAGACTGGAGGTTTTCTGTTCATCAATTTTCTTCCCATTAGTCTTTCACTGTATAGAGCCTTGCTTCAGAAACCCTACATGCCTTTAGTACATACCTACAATGCACTCAGAGGCAGTCCACTGGAGGATACATGGCAAGAAAAGAAAAGAAAAGAAAAAAAATCTGCTATCAGAATAGTGCAAACAAATATAGTTTGAGGCACATAGGAATACATGGAAAAGGTGAGAGAAACTTAACAGTTATTGATATTTTCTATTTTCTGTTCACTATCAATCCAATGCAGAATATTTACACATTTTATAGTTGAGGAAGCCAAAGTTCAAAATCTCAAAGGAGTTAAGTAACTTGGCCAGAGCAAGGTTTCCTGAAACCACATCTGAGAGGCCCTACCACAAATCCAACCTGGTATCTAAAAATCCACATCTTTAGAAGTAGTACTAGAAACAAAAGGCTTGTTTCACCTTCCATTCTATTCTAGCCTGGTCCACACGTTAAATGGAGGCAGCTCTCATGTTCAGAATGAGTCATTTAATCACAAAGAGACACATGGCAATCCAAAGGTAAAAATCATCCTCCTGAGGGCCTCTGATGGGACTTTCTGACATTCTCAGACATGCTAAGGTGAGAGAGAAGGAGTAAGAGAGAAGGTGAGATGTTGGGCTGATGAGTGATCTTTGCCTTAGAACAACAATAAACTGGCAGTGAGTTAACTTCTGTTATAGGAAAGCAAAAGATAAATTTGATCAAGTAATAAATAGGAAGCCAGGATTGGGTTGCATTTTTATAAAATATTTCTAGGAGTTGGAAAGCATTTAATTGTCCTTCTTTCCCATCAAAACATCAGTAGCTTTTCTGGGGAATAGCAGCTTATTTTTAAAACTTGAGTATTATATTTTAAATGTTGTTTTGACAAAAATGTTTTGAAAAGAATGTAAGGTTTTAGATAATCATATTGGGATGTTAAGTGTATCCCCAAATGGCCACCTGGCTTGATGGTTTCTCCAAGTTTGGCAACATCTAATTTTTGCAGAGCTGTAGGATTGGCATTGCAATAAAAACTGATAGAAGCCAGTATAATATGGTGTATATAAGTATGGCCAAGAGGTGTGAGGAGGACCATAATTTGATGACGATTTTATGATATTCTAAAGTAGAGGGTTAGCAAATCAAATCTGGCACATGCTCATATTATTAATGAAGAAACTCAGCTACATCCCTTTGTTTAGGCGTGCCTATGGATTTTTGTTGTTGTTCTACAGGAGGAGAGATGAATAGTTGCAACAGATACTCTGTGGTTCATAAAAGCTGAAATATTTACTATCTGACCATGTTCTAAAGGTGCTCATTCTGGAGAAGGTAAACAATGATTCCATCATGTTGATGGGGCAGAAATTATTACTTTTGTCCAGGGGAGTGACAATCAGCTAGTTTTCATCATTAAAAAGTCCAGCACGCCACACTTTCGAGACAGCTACCTACATGCAACTCTGATATGCAGAGAATGCCAGCTATCACCTTCCCATCAAGTATCTGTGTCATCTGCCAGGCACTGAGTCAACATTAGCACTTTAGCAGCTTAAATGCAAATGTCACAGTTACCTTGGGCCAATGTGGGATGTTTTTATGCAACTTCATTTTTGTTTTGTATATTTTTATATTGAAATAACTCTAAATTGAGTTTCTTCTTTATATTTTAATATTCATTTTATTAAAGGTTAATAATATTGATAGTACTACTTGGTATGTAGAAAAAACATGGAAATTTCTCCTAAACAGTTGTCTTAGCTTTCAGATGAGGACATTGTAATGTTACATGGTTACGTACTAACTCAAAAGTCAGGGCAAGGTTAAAAAAAGCTCTCTCTCTCTAACTTTCTTATTGTAGTTAAAATACACAAATACACATAACACAAAATTTATCATCTTAACCATTTTAAGTGTAAAGTTTAGTGCAATTAAATATATTCATAAAATTGTGCAGTCATCAGCACCTCCCATCTCCACACTCTTTTCATCTTATAAAACCGAAACTCTGTACTCAGTAACAAGGACTCCATTCCCCCTCCTCCCAGCCCCTGGCAAACACCATTCCACTTTTTTTGTCTAGGCTTTTTGTTACTCTGAGTGCCACAACTAAGAGGAATCATAGAGTATTTGTCTTTTTGTGACGGGCCTATCATAATGTCCTCAAAGTTTACCCATATTATAACATATTGTAGGGCTGGGGATTTAGCTCAGTGGTTTTGCCGCCTGCTGCGCAAGCGCAAGGACCCAAGTTCGATCCCCGGCACCAAAAAAACAAAAAAAACAAAAAACCATATTACAGAAGTTCCTTCCTCTAAGTGTGAATAATATATTCCTTTGCCTATCCAGTCCTTGCCTATCAATTCCTCCCTGATGGACACTTGGGTTGCTTCCACGTTTTAGATATTGTGAATAATCCTGCTATGAATATCAGTACATGAATATGACTTTGAAGCTTTGCTGACTGTTTATATATATCCAGAAACAATTGCTGGATCATGTAGTAATTGTATTGTTGTGAGGAAGTGCCATCTTGTATTCCACAGTTGCTGTACAAGTTTACATTCCCACCATTTGTGCAAAAGAGTTCCAATTTCTCACTGGACATAATGCATGCCATAATCCTCACTCAGGAGGCTGAGGCAGGAGAATCACTGCAAGTTCAAGGTCAGCTTGGACTACATAGCAATATCCTGTCTCAAAAAGCAAAAAGAAAAGCTCCAATTTCTTCACATCCTCACCAACACTTGTTTTCTGTTTTGTTTTTTAATACTAGACACTCTTTTGGATATGAGGCATTATCTCATTGTTGCTTTGATTTGTATTTCCTCAATCACTAGTAATGTTGATTGTTAGCTATTTGTATAACTTCTATGGAGAAATGTCTACTCAAGTCTTTTGCCAATTTTTAAATCTAGCATTTTTGTCATTTAATTTTAAAATTTCCCTGCTGGATATTCAATCCTTATTAGATACGTCATTTGCAAATATTCTCTCCTATATTATTTGTTATCATTATTCCTCTATTTCTTATCTTTTGATACAGAACATTTTTAAATTTCCTTAAGATCTAATTTTTCTGTTTTCCTTTGTTTCTTGGACTTTTGATGTTATATCAAAGAAATCATTTCCAAATTCAATGTTGTAAACCTTTTGTCCCATGTTTTCCTCAAAGAATGTTAGTTTTTAAACTTTACTTACATCTTTGATCCATTTTAAGTGAATTTTTTGTAAATGATATAAGGTACAGATCCAACTTCATTCTGGGGATATCTGGTTTTCCCAGCATCATTTGTTGAAAAGAGTATCTTTTGCTTATGACTGGTCTTGACAACTTTGTCAAAAATCAATTGACCATCCAAGTGAGAATTTATTTCTGGACTCTATTGTATTCCATTTGTCTATATGTCTGTCTTTATGCCAATACCATATTGTTTTGATTATGGTAACGTTGTAGTAGGTTTTGAGATCTGGAAGCCTGAGTCCTCCATCTTTGTTCTTCTTTTGCGAGATTTTTGGATTGTTTGGGGTCCCTTGAGATTCCATATGAATTTCTTATTTCTGCAAAATAACCAAAAAATGTTACTGGCATTTTGATGAACATTTCCATAGAATTGATATCTTAACAGCAATAAATCTTATAACCCATAAACATGGAAAGTGTTCCCATTTATATCTTCTTTAATTTCTGTCAGTAATGTTTTCTTGTTTTCATCATATAAATCTCCTGTTAATCTCCTTAAGTGAATTCCTAAGTTTTTGTGCCATTGTAAATGGACTTATTTTTATAATTTTCTTTTCAGATTATTCATTATTAGTGTATTGAACTGCAATTGACTTTTGTGACTTTTGTGTATTAACTTTATATCTTGTTGCTTCACTGAGTTCATTTAAATAGTTTTAACAGTTTTTGAATATATATATATTTGAATATATATATGTGTGGAATCTATCAGGCTTTTTATATGTAAACAGAAATTGTTTTACTTCTTACTTTTCTATTTGAATGCCTTTATTTCTCCTTTCTTTCTTTCTTTCTTTCTTCTTTCTTTTTTTCTTCCTAATTGCTCTGCCTAGAACTTGCAATACTGTGTTGAACACCAGTGGTGAGAGCGGACATCCTTAACTCATTCCTGATCTTAGAGGAAAAACCTTAAGCTTTTCACTTTTGAGTATATTCATTTTAGGTTTTCATATATGGCTGTTATTATACTGAGGTAGTTTTATTCTATTCCTAGTTCATTATATTTTGGGAGACAGTGATCAGGAAAGGCATTAAATTTTGTCAGGTGCTTCTTCTGGATCAATTGAGATAATCACATGGATAT